CGTACTTACAAAATGATTTTAGACTAGAATTGTGTTCTTTCACAAAGTTCTAGAGCTGTAATGTATGATTTTACCAAAACAACTTATTGATTTCTTTGTTTGCATCTATATGTAATTCATCAATAGCCAGAATATCTGATTTAGAACGAGGGTTATTAAGCTGGAGAAAAAGAGAAAATTCGTAGCAAACAGATTAATCGACTTTACAAATTGTCGGAAAAAGTGTCGTCTTAGCACTTGCGCCATGCTTGTAAGATTTGAAATTACGTTGGCTGACCGAATACAATATTGTCGTCGGCGGTCTATGACTGACATGTTCCATAGTGTAGAATATAACATTAAAATTTGACAATAATCTGAATCGCCAAACAAGCTTCACAAACTTTACTATCTGAGGAAAGGGATGTCAAACCAACTGGTCAAGGCTACGCACTCATGAGCCATTTCCTTCATCCCTACGAGTCATGATGGTGTTGTACTATGCAAGCACACATAGCTTATCCTAGCCTCTGAACGAACTAATATATTCATTATAAATAAATAAATATATTTTTAATATTTCATTCATTCTGAATGTCTTTGAAATGAGCATATGTATGTGCATATATTATCCTACTCATCACATGTATGTAGCTTATTTTTATCTGGCTATATATATACATATTGATTAACGTTTGAATAAATCGAGGGGGTTCACTTGCCTTCTCCGTTGCGCGTCATTTTGCTTCTTTTCCTTCTCTTCGTTTCTTCACTCGTTTTCTGGATAAACAATTTTATAAAATATACGCTTCTGAAATTCATTCACGTGATTTGGTTTATTTAACTACGTTATCCAATAGCTCAAATTTAGTCGATAATTATAAACGAGGATTGACAGCTTCACACAGCTGAGGTCATTTTCGTGTCATCATAACACACATATTTCTTTTCGATATAATCTATTATGTCTGTAAAGGCTTTTAATTCTAATAAGTTTTTTGCCAGAGCAGATCATCTGTATTTTCTTCTAGATCATTTATCACATCAATGGCTTGATTATCATTGTTCGTTTTTTGTGGATATGTGGCTATCACAAGTCACATTCTTCCGACGTTTTAGCTAGTTTCTCGTACACCGAGCAGCGTGCAACGTGCTAAGTAAATTGACGATTTAGTGACATGCGCATGCACACGAATCTTCAGTCTAAGCAGTCAGGCAAACCTCTTGCACACTGATAACGGCACGGTCACAACAACCTCAACGCTGGCAACAGTTAGCAACTTCACCATAGATATCAGTTTGGAGTCACGCTTCCGTTCGTATGAACTTATATTATCGATATGCAAGTAATGTCCATTCATCGCATTTGTACACAGCAACTGTTTTTCTATTTTTTTCAGCCACAATATAGACTGAACTTCAACGATTTTTGTTTAACCAATGATTCTTACTTTAATGCTATACACACATCAGGTATTCGATTCCGCATAAATAGCCAATTAATAACTATCAAGTACACCTTGTCTATTCGTCCACATGTATAACTGCTTGCTGTATCGTTCATTATCCATAAACATCATCCGATTACTGCAATTAATACTCTATTCCAGTTGTAATATATGTCAGAACATAATTTACAGCTGGTCTCACAAGGGTACACTCTTGTTCGTGGCATCTTAATTTCACTCTCCTGTAATGAACAATCATATATAACGGTATTTTTTAACATGCCTTCGTAAGGTTTTGTAACAAACTCAGTCAAGCACATCTGTCTCAAACCACACAAAACGCTCTAGGCTTCACGACCAAAAAGAAAGAAGACTATACGTATCTCATTTCCATAGTCATTATTCCGCTCCTCTATCAATGCATACCCAACGATAACTTAATGGATCTATTTATGACGCGAACAACAACGTACACTGACTTCGCATTTTATGATTATTGTCAATCGCGGTACAGCAACGAATATCACCCATCAATGCAGTTGTCATTTTGCGACTAAATTATTTTTATCCCACATAAAATCCATGTACGTGAATTGGAATACTTTAGTGACTAATCGACACTATTTACTCTATTATTATTAGAACGTCTTCAAATTTCACGGTTCTTCATCCTTATATTCAGTGGGGGCCGCAGACCGATTCCTGTTATGTTTGATTTTTCTACTTTTACAACCAGTGAAGACTTCAACTAATCAGTATTCGGAGATAGACTATAGATATCATATACTTCACTAGCTTGTTATCTTACCTCGATAGCATTTACCTTCTTTCCACAAATTATCTCACACGACCTGTACGTCTGTCATACATAAATGTCAAGGATAACAAGAGAATGGAAGATACGAAAGTTAAATAAATATCTGTGGAAGCGCCACGAGTGAGATAAATAACATCATGATGGTAATGTCCGTTTTTCCCATGCTCTGTCTGGCTATCAGACGCTTAATTACTTGCCTCTTGAGCCACGCTGAAGTCAAAAATCAAGAAGAATCTTTTATAATAAATAAATTAGGTCAGTCAAGCCTGAACAATCGCACCATTGCTCGTATAAAATAGACAGACGCCGATAGTCTGGAAAAAAATAATACGGTGCAGACATCTTGGTTATAAATGTGAATTAAAAGGAAGCATGGCATAAAAATAGTATCAATCTGAAACTGCCACAAGTTAAAATCATTGCTAAACTCAATTAAACACATGGCCTTTAGTCTGAGAAAATCGTATTCCACAACGTGGTTCGTAATAGCCGGTGATGAAAGTGACTGCCGGCCAGAAATAGTCAAAGTATAACTTAAAAAACAAAGAAAATTTAGTGGCGTTGAGCTCTAACCAGACAATACCCAGAGCTGAACACGAGACAACTGGGAAGATAGATAATCAATTTTTAACACGGAGAAAAACACAACAATGGAAAGGGAGGGTAAAGTGAATTCAATTGATTCAAATTCATTGAATGGTATGGCTTAGCCTAGCTTGCGCGATCATTCTTGTGCAGTCTATATCCTTTATTTATATTAAATACATCGTTCTATCTTCAGCTTTATTGTGCACTCCATCATATATTGTTGATTCTTACGTACGATGAGTTAGTGAAGACAATGATGTAACTTCCACGTAGAATGCTACAGATTAGTCAGTCACATCATGACAAGCCAACAAATTTATGATCAGATTTATTATTAGAGTAGCCGCGTATCACTTACATGATTTGGACTTCGCAGATAAACAAGCCCTTCTACCTCATACACATGAAGAAATGCAAATGAAAACAACTAGTGTAACAGCAGCCACTGCATCAGTAGGCCTCAAAATACACAAGGAAAAAGGCAAGGGCCGTATTCCTGCAGTTGCAGAACATATGAAACTCGAAATACCTGTCAACTAATTTCAAAATGAGAATCTTCAATGCGAACGTCAAGACAGTCCTACTGTACGGAGCTGAAACAGAGAACTACTACAGCTACCATCAAAAAGGTACACGTATTTATAAATGGTTGTATGCGCAAGATACTCAACATCCATTCGCCGGATACCATCAGCAATAGCTTTCTGTAGGAGAGAACAAACCAACTTCCAGATGAGGGAATTAGGCAAAAACGTTGGAAATGGATAAGATGTACATTGAGGAAATCATCAAACTGCATCACGAGTCGAGCGCTGACTTGGAATGCTGAACGAAATCGGAAAAGTGGAAGGCCGAATAACACTCTACGTTGGGAAATGAAAGTAGGTATGAACAGGATGAATGACAGCTGGATAGAACTGAAAAGGATCGCCCAGGACAGAGTCGGATGGAGAATGCTGGTGGTTGGTGGCCTATACTCCTCCACGAGGAGTAACAGGCGTAATTTTCCCTCTGAGACACGTTGATCCGACGCTCTTGGTTTTTAAATTTATGATGTTAACGGCGAACGAGTGGAAGTTTACGTAACGTACTTTTCTTGAGGCCGTTCTGTTCTTTGCGTAAGAGTTGTTTCATATATATGAGGTCTGTTCGTTTTTCTTAGTCTTTTGTCGTTTTTAGGTGTTCGGATCAAAACCACGAGCCCATAAGAGCTTGGGATGGACGGCATGCTTTCACGTCTTCAGTTTAGAATCTAATTTGTATTATCACACGCAACGTACTGTCTTATGGAAGTGCTTAATCATGGTTTCACACATGTTACTGTGTGTTGGCATGCTACTCTGCAGCTTCAGCAACTCAACTACTGGACAGATCATGCAGATTATCACATTTACTCTCTGAATAGCGGTTTTTATTCACCTACTATGTCTAGTTTAGTTGCTTGCTAAAATTAATCTCCAAATAAATATTTCCTTGGCGTTTATCCTTGAGTTATTCACTTAAAAATTGGCTATCAGTTTGTTTACGTTTCAGTTACGTTTTACTGTGATTTGAGGTCTAACTCTGCAAGAGCTGTTGGAAGTTAAGCGTTTTAGCCACAGTATACTAGGTAAAGATGGAGAATCGACTAATAAGGTTGCAAATCTTTGTCAACTAATGTAATCGGGAAATGCGTCACTTATGCCTGGTGGCTGTATACCTCGATATGGTTTACTGGCTGGCATGGTAGGTTAATTAAAAGTCTGTGTCAATCAAGCGAAGATATTTCGTCATTTTTTGAAGTTATTGACTGTTGATCTGAGCTTTTTTGGTTAGTGCAAACTAATTGGTCGTGGATTGTTAAATAATAGTGACCAGTGGTCTCGCTTCTTCATTGTCCTCCGTCAGACTGTTGCGATGTGTTGTGACCAGTTAATTATTTTTCGTTTTGTCCTTCCTCGTAGTCTGATTTTTGTTGCCCTGTAAAGATTCAGTCACCAATTAAGTGATTACTTATTCGTACCTACTACATGTATTATGATAGCATAGTATGCCAACCACTATTTAATAACAATGATTATTTATTTCGAAATGAACTAGGATTAAGTTGAAGTTAACTATCCTTTTGTTTTACCCCTGTGTAAGGTGAATAAACCTTCAAAACGAAATGATTGCGGTATTTTGGACAAATGTTAAGATTTACGCGAAATATACATCTTAATTTATTATTTTCTCCAGGTATTGAGAAAACTATAACGACTTTCATTTTCTGTTAAATAGATGTTAGCTGGTGTTGTTAGTTTGTTATCCTTTTCTATTAGATTTCATTCAACGAAATTTCAATTTTGTAAACCGGAAGGATTTGTTAAATATTGTTTTCAGTACAATACTTACTACCCTAAGATGTTTTCAACTCGGTTTAAGACGTGGTTGTCTGAAAGTGAGTTGAACACTTCAAGCATTTTTCGTGTTCATATCTAACTAATATATTTTCCGATTTTGAATTAAGGGATTCTCCGTTGTTGAAGACGAATATTTTCAAGCTGCAGTTCCAAACCACCTTTTTGATGCTAGCAATTTGGTTTCAAACGAACTTACGCTGATATCAGTTCGTTATGAGATTATCCAACTGATACTTTAACTCACTAGAATATTGTTAAAAGTGATATTTCAAAGTCTTCATACTATCATGGAAGTTCGGAGTTATACCAGTTATTGGATTTATTGATCAGAAGTTTTGAAAACATCGTTAGTAAACACGATGACTTAATTAAATATCTAGTTACAATAGATAAAGAAGAGTCTTATTTACCTATTTCACTTACGTCCCACAAGTTAGTGAAAGAAGTTACGTAGTCCATTTCCATTTCAGAAAGGCAGTTGAAACGATTATGTCATTGGACTTCTGTTTAACTAGTCAGTCTTCAGCTAACAGCACGTTCGATTCCCGAAAAAGACTTATGGAGTTAGTCTTGGATTCGGTAATTGTTTATCAGTTTATCATTTTGATTATGGTTTGTAGAAAAATAACATTGAGAAGTTAACAAGTTTCAATCAGAATTTGTCTTTACTAGCCTGTCAGCTTAATGAAGCTAGTAGTTTATTAAATGGTGAAATGGATTAACCTTTCACTACATGGAGACAGAAGAAAGTTTAGAATTATTGCATATTGTAACTGTGGGCCTTGACATAGGTCGTCATAAACCTCCGAGATGTTTTTGCCGCGTTCCTCTTGCAGTGTATATTTTTACAGAATCTAACAGTCTAAAAGATGTAGTGGTGGCTATCTCAGTGATCTTCCCTAGGTAACGGGGCATTGTAGCACGCCCTGATCGAGTCAGTTCAAGTTAGTGCGTTGTAAATCTTATCCTCAGCACTGTCAATGCTGAATCTTGCTTACTTACGCCTGTTACCCCTCGTCGAGGAGCATAGGCCGCTCACCAGCATTCTCCATCCAACTCTGTCCTGAGCCTTCCTTTCCAGTTCTTTCCAGTTACTATTCAGCCTTTTCATATCGGCTTCTATTTCCCGGCGTAATGTGTTATTTGGCCTTCCTCTTTTTCGCCTCCTTTCCGGATTCCAAGTTAGGGATTGCTTTGTAATGCACATTGGTGATTTCCTTAATGTATGTCCGATCCACTTCCAACGTCTTTTCCTAATTTCCTCTTCAGCTGGAAGCTGGTTTGTCCTCTCCCATAAAATGCTGTTGCTGATAGTACCCGGCCAATGGATGTTGAGTATTTTGTGTAGACAACTATTTATAAATACTTGTACCTTCCTGATGATGGTCGTAGTAGTTCTCCTCGTTTCAGCTCCATACAGTAGGACTGTATTGACGTTCGTATTGGAGATTCTGACCTTGAAATTGGTTGACAGTTTTTTGGAGTTCCGTATGTTGTTCAATTTTAGAAATGCTGTCCTTACTTTACCAATACTCGCCTTTACATCTGCATCCGATCCTCCTTGTTTATCGACGGTGCTTCCCAAGTACGTGAATGTTTCCAGCTCTTCCAGAGTTTCGTCATCAAGTGTGATTGGGTTGGTGTTCTCCGTGTTGAATGTGAGAATCTTGCTTTTTCCTTTGTGAATGTGGAAAGCTTTCGATTCAGAGGCTGCTGCTATATTTGCTGTCTTCGTCTGCATTTGTTCGTGTGTTTCAGAGAGGAGGGCTAGGTCATCTGCGAAGTCCAAATCGTTTAATTGATTCTGAGAAGTCCATTATTATTATTATTATTATTATTATTATTATTATTGTATTCCGTGTTTCCCCTCCGATGTCGAAGTCTTCATAATCCAGTCAATCACTAGAAGGAAGAGGAATGGGGAGAGTAGACAGCCTAGTCTGACTCCGGTCCTTACTGGAAATGCATCTGTCAGCTGTCCTCCATGCATGACTTTGCACTGTAGTCCATCGTATGAGTTTTGGATAATGTTGAAGAAGTTTCCATAATGTTCTCCTGTCCACGCTGTCAAACGCCTTCTCATAGTCGATGAAGTTGACGTATAGTGATGAGTTCCACTCAACTGATTGTTCAACGATGATCCGTAGTGTCGCAATCTGGTCTGTGCACGACCGATCTTTACGGAATCCAGCCTGTTGATCTCGAAGTTGGGCATCCATTGAGTCTTTCATCCGATTCAGCAGCACTCTGTTGAAAACTTTTCCTGGCACTGGTAACAAACTGATGCCTCTGTAATTCTCACACTTGCTCAAATCTCCTTTCTTTGGTATCTTGATGAGATATCCTTCTTTCCAGTCCATTGGCACTTGTTCCTCTTCCCAGATCTTCTTGAATAGAAGGTGAAGCATATTTGCAGTTATTTCAGTGCTTCAGTGCTTCAGCTGGTATATTGTCAGGTCCTGCCGCCTTCCCACTTTTGATTTGTCCGATGGCCATCTTGACTTCTTCTATCGTTGGTGGAGTGACATCTATGGGAAGGTCAGTTTGTACTGCTTCGATGTCCGGTGGATTCAATGGGGCTGGTCTATTCAGCAGTTCCTCGAAGTATTCTGCCCATCTTTTCTTCTGTTCTTGAATCTCAGTGATTGTCTTTCCTTCTTTGTCCTTGACTGGTTTCTCTGGTTTACTATTTTTCCCTGCCAATTTCTTCGTTGTATCATATAGCTGTCTCATATTCCCTTCTCTTGCAGCTTTTTCCGCCGTCGTTGCTATTTCTCCCATGTATTTCTGCTTGTCGGCTTTAATGCCTTTCTTCACTTCCCTGTTTGCTTCTGCGTAGTCTGCTTGTGCTTTGACTTTTTCTGCTCGTGTTCCATTGTTGTTAATTGCTGTCTTCTTGTTCTTCCTTTCTTGAATTTTGTCCAGGGTTCCCATAGAGATACATTCCTTGTGATGATGCTTCTTAGGACCAAGAACCTCCTGACACGTTGAAGTTAGTGCTTCTTTTATCCCTTTCCAGTTGTCTTTCAAAGTAGTTTCTTGTTCATTCAGTAGATCCTGTAGAGCTTGGAACCTGTTGTTGAGAGTTATCTTGAATTCATGGAGCTTGTCAGTATCTCGAAGGAAGACTGTATTGAACATTTGTAGTGCTGTTTCTCCAGTTGTCCAGTGTTTCTTTAGCTTCAGTCTCATCTTGGCCACAACCAGGTGTTGATCTGAAGCTATGTCAGCTCCTCTCCGGGTTCTCACATCCTAAAGTGACCTTCCGAATTTTTGCTGATACAGAGGTGATCTATCTGGTTCTCTGTGGTTTGGTCCGGTGAGATCCATGTAGATTTGTGTATGCGTTTGTGTGGAAATATTGTGCCGCCGATAACCAATTTGTTGAATGCACATAGATTTGCACGTCTCTCCCCATTTTCATTTCTCTCTCCTAGTCCATGTCGTCCAATTATATCTTCATATCCTGTTTTGTCCACTCCGACTTTAGCATTTAGATCTCCCATCAGTATGGTGAGATCCTTTCGTAAGCACTTCACTATAATTGATTGCAGCCTCGAATAGAACTGATCTTTATCGTCGTCGTTGCTATCATCGGTGGGTGCATACCATTGGATAATGTTCATTGTGATCCCCTCCTTCTTTGCTTTGAATGATGCTTTGATTATCCTGGATCCATTAGATTCCCATCCTACAAGTGCGTTTTGTGCTTCTCTGGACAGCATTAAAGCAACTTCCTGATTATGTGGAGCATTCTCCTCTTCGTGAACAAAGTACAGCAGCATCTCTCCTGTACTTAGCCTTTGTTTTCCTGCTTGTGTCTAATGAGTCTCGCTGATTCCGAGTACTGCCATTTTGTATCTCCTCATTTTCATTGCTATTTGACTGGTCTTTCCTGTATCCCACGTTGTCCCGACGTTCCATGTACCTATAAAGAGTGTTGCTCTGGTTGATAGAAAGATCATCGGTCTCGTGACTTCCGAAAAATTTCGGCTTTCATCATGAGGCGTCATAATTCTTCCTTCAAACTCCCAGGGTAGTGTTTAAATGGTTTGAATTGAAGCGCCCATTTTCATGTTCATATCGTAATTACCACTTGGAAGGATCATAAATATTATTGATTCGTGCCTCTGTAACAGCTCAGGTTGGTTGGTTAACAGTTGACCCCAAACAACCAAGCATATGCTAAAACAGTATTGTTCAAGTATTCATTCACTTCCTTACTTTTTGTAAGCGTTATATTCCCTATTATCTTATATTGAATGTTGAGAGCCTTTGTTCGTCTGGACAGATAAACCCACGCTCCACTGTGGCTGCGCGAAGATCGAAATATAGACCTATTCACTACTTCTCTGGTTTCTTCTATCAATAGCACGAGGGTTACCTTAAGGCACGAAACCTCCACCTGCTTGTAGAATGCAGTTTTCCTCTCCTGAACCCAGACTTCTGTCTCTAGTTGGTGAGCTGGAACGCATGGGAGTAGTTAGCTTATTTGGTCCTTGCATCTCTGAGCCTTCTTTTCGCCCGCAGATTTCATTGAACTCGTAATCTCTTCAAACATCTCAGACATGAAGGTGACGTAAGAACTATGATGTTGTTTAGGTTTGCGTTTTATATCTAGATGTCAGACTGATGGTCATGGCATGGAATAAATCTAGCTCGTAACTAAAATGAACGCTTTTTCATTTCGACTACCTAGAGCGTGTTATCTCAGAGCGGCCATTACATATTTAAAGTCCCTTAGGTTGGTTTTGTGTATGCAAGATAGCTTTATTTAATGATATATTTGACCTTAAAAGACCCGTATATTTCTGAAAACCACCATGTCCATGCACATCGTATGTTTCTGTCTTTCAGGTGAAGGAAACCTCTGAGTTGCACGTTTTAACTTCCAGCTTATGGCTAGCAGTAGGTGGGTGTGTGTATATCATCCTTTTGTGACTGCCATAATTCTCTATCTATTTATTTAGAAGTAACACTGTGTTCAGTGCTTCCGAGTGTTTCGACCAACAAAACTTATACTTCTCGGTGGACAATCCTTTATCAAAGATTCTTGACATGGGTTCAATTCGAACACGCTTTAAATGTTCTCCAGTGTGTAAGGAAAAAATAATCCTAGTGTTTGCAAATGAAATGTACTCATGATGTACACGTACAAAGTAATTGTTCTATTCTTCTGTGATCTTTCTTGGTAAACATTCTGTGCAATCGCTAACTCCAGAACAACATGCTTGTACAGATAACCGTTGTTATCAAAAAAACGTATGTCTACCTTAATTTTACAGATACTCAGGCAACAGTCAGGGATGGCGAATTATTTGATAGGATAATGAGTGACTTCATCCAAAAGAGATAATTAAGTCTTGAGAAAATCAACGCATTCGCTTTAATCCTAAAATAAAGATCAGATCACGGATTAATCGACATCGATTAATGATGTTCTGGATAACATCTGTTAAGCAAGGGTAACAGATGCAGAGACAAATTAGGACGTGATTCAACAGGATTCCTTTATATAGAATAGGAACTAACATCCTATGTAGTGAAACAGGTTTAGGTGTAAACTTTGGTATTAGAGAACCTATGGTGTCTAATACTGGTAGATTAAATGTACACGATTGTATACTCATTCTCATATACAATATCATATTGAGCATGTAATTTTCAAAACCAGTACTTTTATTGCAGTGTATTAATGAATCTTTAAGAGAAAAAATTTTCTCATAAAACCAGTATTCCAGTTCACACTCGTTAATTAATCATCGGAGAGACTATAACTTGTGGACAAACCTATCAGATTTAGGATAACAAGTTTTGGATTTTGGCGCAAAATTCATTCCCCCATTTAGCTAAATAACGCTCTGGCTTCTTAGCTGATGTCGATTCGTGACGAAAACATTAAATCTAACGATTGATCCTAGTCTTAACCCTTCACATTAATATATAGCCCTCATTTAGCCGTAGTGGGTAGGTGAACATTCTCAAGGTTATTCTAGCGTCGCTCAAAGGTTACTGATAAATTATAGTCTCGCCAAATCACTTATTTGACAATACGGTTATGCTACCATTTAGTGCAGTGGTTTACCGTATAAAACGTTTAGATAAGCGTTTGTTCTCAAACAAAACAAAATTTACTCAAAATCACTAATCCCAGTGCTTATGCATAATGGTTCCAACGAATACCACAATCGTACTTACAAATACATCAAAACGACTCGAGCTAGCTTTTGTTGTGTTTGATGTAGAATTTTATTCAAATGACAGAATAAAACAGTTGAGACTCCAGATTCCTATCACTTCAAACACATAAAACCATCAACATTCAACATAAGATATTAGGTGGTATATAGCCGGAGATTAAACTCACATTTGCCAGTCATCTAAGTGTATCGTACTAAGCAATTGAGGTTATATTTTCGTTTATTTAGTCAGTCAATTCGGATATTTCGAAACTACTTTTAATATATGACTAACTGAAGGTTTATCTTTCGCCATGTGTTTTTTCTTTTTTCTTGACTGACCGTCCTATACTTGACACAACCGTAGTGTTATGGAATGTCATTTTCGTCGTAGAAAACTTTACATTGTTCATGTAAGCCAGCAAAAACAACAGATAACGAAACGTGCTTCTCATTATGGATTACGACAATATGACTGATAACTCCTGCTTCAATTTGGTTGGTCACCTGGTGCAAGATCGAATTTGGGAACAAAAGTGAATTTTGTCCCCACCCGCTGAATATAAGGGACAGCTGAAGATTCTCTCCTCATTCATGATAAGTAAGCAGAGTACGGTTTAAACAGACTTCACGAAAAATGCTATGCTACAGCAACATCACAGATTTTGTCGACCCAATCCATGGACCTTCTGATCGGAAAGCATTTTACAAATGATGTCCGTTGTATATCAGGTGTAGAGGCTGAAAATAGGTCCGTCAAATGCTTGGTATTTCAAGAAACCTACACAATATAAATAGTCGTTCTTGAGTGGCTTTAGGATCATATTTTGTTATCAAATACAAATCTTTCTAGTCATTCACTTTTGAATATTAGATCCTGTTCATCTGCAAGTTACGCAAATGCCTGTGTTTGTGCAAAAGTTTAAGTACGACGGACTTTTAAAATACTTTAGGGTTTGGGTAGATTCAACAAGGTTTTGAGTGACACTAATCTGAGTCACAACAAACTCTATCTTTCGTAATAAAAGTGCCATGGAAGCCAATTAAATTGATTCGACCCAGTTTCGTAGCGATCCAGAATTAATAACTAAGCTATTTTCCTCATTATCAAGGAAGTCGTAATATACTTTCTACGTAATTAAGAGGCACTGAATTTTGCATTTTTAATTTTCGAAATTCTGTTAGATTCCATAGTGACCCTTTTTATTTCAATTATCATTGGTTCTGACAAGATATAAATTGTAACTAGTGAACAAAGCCTTATGAAATAGTAGCTTATATGAATGCTTGCGCTATGTTTGTCTGAAGGGCGGGAAAATTGGGGCCTGTTGTATTTGTTGTACAGTCGTTTAAACTATTTTACTAGATGAGTGTTATATGCATGAATCATTGCTCTTCACTCCTCCAAAGAACTCTTGACTCTGTCAATCTACTTCAAGGCCTCTCGAATCGTGATGAATCTGCTAGGCATGAAGCGGCTGTTACTATTCAACGTATATTTGATTCGTGGTATTTTGGCTTTGGTAGTCCTGCTGTCGCTGGTTTCTTAGAGACTGTGGCCAATGATACCGGCGGGGCTACTCTAGATACTTCCATGCACGGTTTGATTACAGAGCAGATTCCAGATCTTTTAAGAATTTTGCATACCGCCCCATCATCTGATATACGGTCTGCTGCTAGAGATATCTTGCGTGATTTAAAGGTTATGCTGTTGAATTTCTCCCTAACAAATTTTTAGATTCAGAAGGGGTTCAAAATTCCAAATACTGTTACATCCTCTCCTAGTTTTATTCAGTCTCTAAATGTAATTTCAGTTTTTAATTGTTAATTTGATTCTAGATGGACCATATGAAATGCCTGGTCGATGATCCAAGTGAAGGGGATCCTTTTTACACTGTATGTATCCATTATTTCACCAAAGAGTTTCTATCCAACTGGATTTTCACCTATTCTGCTGGTTTCATAAAACCGGTATTATTCACTCTGTTTGGTGATCCGTTAATCAAGAAGGAAATAATCACAACGTTTTAAATTGTTATATAATGATTGACGTTCATTGAGAGCACTTCGATCTCCAGTTTTCCATTGTAGGGCAAGGTGTCGTTCTTTCTTTTTAGTATGTGCTAAAATTTCCACTAAAACGGGAAAGTGACTTTTCTCTCACAATTTTCAAGCGACATTATTTGCAATATCAGACTCAAACTCTCCAGATTGTTTAGTCGATTGTTGGCACATAATTATTCTATTCTAAAATAGCCTACGGGACGTATATCCATCATGTGTGAGCCTCAAAAGATCTGTAAACTATTCAACCAGACGCGTTTGCCGATCGCTTTAATATATACTTATCAATACGCACTCCTTTTAATTGCAAATAATCACCAACCTTTTCTGTCTGAAAGTTTGCCTCACAGATTAAATTTCAATGTACACATGTCATACCGGTGAACGTAAATTAAGAAAATCAGCAATTTTATGCTTTTCCCATATATTCTTCAATATATTGCCTACACATTTTCTATACGTGAATCTCACACTTGCATAAACCTTGTACTAAACAGCTTTGTAGCTATCTTCCTAAAAGATATTAAGTTGCTTTCATCAACCATAATATAATAAGAGTACTCTCAATATATTTTTGAGGTAGTTGACATCAAATCGACCAGAGGTTCTTCCTTCGACAAAACATCTTATAGGAGCTTTAAAATGTTTCAAATTTCCACCAGGAGCAAAGTGTAACTTAGATTTCTTGACGAGCTCGCTTAAATTCACGCATCTTAGTAAATTCAAGGATGGTATAGTTTCTCGTGGAAGTTTATTGGAAGTCAGCAATTGAGAGGATCATTCTAAAAAGACTAAATTTTTCGAAGTGTGATCTGTAAAACATAAAATTTAACCCTTAGTTAAGTAAAAGAGATGATCACTACGTCAGCATTTACTAAGACTCACTGATTACAGGTTAAATTGAAATATTGAAAATTACATGGTTAGCCTTGTGATATTTCATTTGATTCCATTAAGCTTCATTAGTTTGACATACATTGTTTGTTGCGCAATATGAGACTGTCAAAGTAACAGGTGCACAACTTACCGTACATGTTATGTATTTCTAATTCACATTTTCGGAAATCTAGAGCAACTAGAATCTCTGCGTCGTAATTATGATGCATACTTCTGTCTCTCCTTATGCTTAAATCTAGTGTTTGCTATAAATAAACGATTGTCTAAGCACAGTTGCAACAGACGATCACCATTATCTGTTCGCTGAATCGGAGTACTAAAATACTCACCTAAATGTCTTCCTGTTTGGTTTAAGCTACCTACTTAAGCATTAAAGTCACCTGCAGCGAGTAGTATGTCTGAGTGTTTAGCTTTATGAAGAAGTTCAGAAAGCTTTTTGTAAAAGTCACCTTTCACTTCATCGTGATTGCAGTCAGTGGGAGCGTAGGCAGAAACGACGAAAAGGCAACGATGTGTTTCCCTATCCTTCCGAATTCTTATGGAGCCGTTTAGCCGGACGGCACATAGGCGACTGTTAACGGGGATGCATTCTAATAGTGTTTGTTTTGCACTCGTACTTAGTGCTATGCCTACACCTGCAAGTCCACGAGAACTAGCCATCGGGATGCCAGATACACGGAGGGTGTATCTGTTGGGTTCTCCGTTCCGGTATAATCAGATGGTATATGTAGCTTTAAACACATTCCAAGGGTTTTATACGTGTTTTGTATACAAACGGTAGCTACTAAAACTTGTGTTTTTGGTTATGAAATGCAACCTATTCTTGGCAATCCTCACTGTTAGTCCTCTTTCCCCAGTACGTTTCTGGAACTGGTAGATGCTTTGGTTGTTTGCGATCTGGACTTCTGGTTTCTTAACAAATTAAGGACAACACGTAATTGAAGATTAAATTTTTCTAGTTAATCAAAAGTAAAACAAAAAGACTTGGGAAGCTCTACTTTGAATATTTGTTGAATCTATTTTTATTATGGTTTGCTTTTGGGAGAAGTCACCAGTTTATTGTTCTTACGTAAATCGCTCCGGGTATCATAAAGAGTTACACTCATGACTGTCTTTTTAACTTCTTTGCAGACTTATATCTTGTTTCGTGAGTATTGGTTTCAATGGGGACGCCTAAACAATTACATCAATGTAATGGGGTATCATCCTGAATATCTTGAATGTTACATGAAATTAAAGGATCATCTTTTCCGTGGTGACTTGCCATTACCATATCCAGATCGTTACTATATAGCCATTATTGTAAGTTTCACTGTCTAAAGTATTCATGACTGGTCGCGTTCACTCTTTGTGAGATTTGAATGAATCAAACAGTATCTATATCGACTGGTGCTATCACAGACCATATTTAAGGTTTCTAGGGACATGTATCTTTCAGTTTTGAATAGCTGTCTTCTAGTATTTAATAAGTAATTTAGTCAGGGTGTTTGTCAAGTCTTATTGGGGCCATTCACTGTAATCAGTTCATCATCGACCTGTTTCGTACAAATACTATAATACAAACCATTGAATTACGGTTCTCTTAGCAGATGATTTTTAACTGTACGTGGGGGTTCTGTATACTAATCAATATTGTTTATCAGAGTGCTCATTTTTTTGTAACCAAACATTAAAAGCTATTGACATGGTGGTGCGAACTTGCGCAATAAAAAGTAGTATCGAAAGGAAAATGCCTAATTCACGATTATATCATCACTAATGTCCCCCCTAATTGTAAGTGTTATGTTTGTAGGTCTGGGTTACTATTTTCTGTGTGTCAAAGCATTGATACGACACCATATGTAAAATAAAAGAATGCTAGTCACTAACTGTAAGTTTGTTTATCTTTTTTTGGAAACTTTTGACTTCAAAGACAGTGGATATCGATAGATCTAATGCTTTTTTTTAAACTTGTATTAGGCTTCCCATTTTTGAGTAGCAATTAAGGCACGTTAGAACCGCTTGTCATTAAAGTAGTTAAATATAATTCACTCGTGCTACATTAGCATATTTCTCAGTTGATCATTTTCATGCTTATTTAATTTTCTCGTGTCCATCGCGAGTCTTTGAATGCACATTTTCCTAACTCGACCTTTGCTTTTGAGTAAGTCGGTGTTGTGAACGTATACATTTCAGCCGTTCCATCTTGAATCCTAACTTGGTTATCAAGGTTCAGCTAGCCGGATCTTATCGCTAATCTCGTCTTAACCCAGTAAAAAAGGACATATTATATTATTTATATTATAATACACTTTAAAGCCTTAAAACCATATTGACCTACATGGTATGTCATGTGAGTAATTGACTTCAGTAATTAAAATCGTTGTTTGTTTTGCTCGGTGAATTGTATGGCATTTTCCAAACAATTGTGACAGAATATGAATGATATAATCTTAGTAACTATCTCTGGTGACCCAACAGATAGTATTGTCGATCTGGTTTTCAATAATTTTCAGGTCATAAAAGAATATTTACTAACCCTTTATTGTTGGTATTATCTAACAACCTCAAACTTAGATTTTGTTTAACCAACAAAAAAATTTGATCAAGACAATCACTTATATTGCTTTAAGTACTAAGCTGTGCTGCAAAACTACGGAGACCTCTGATATCTTGGCAGACTGATCTTTACTTCTGCATAAAAAGGCGAGAATTGAGTTTATTGTAAGTGTATTCAACTATGAGTTTGATCTCAAAATGCAGTTATTTTCTATACCGAAAAAAATGTGCTTCAACGAGAATTGATGTAGCTATGTCAATTATGGTAGTTAATGCCCTGGTACGGCCGAGAGTGGGGAGAGTCCGCTCTCCTCGAAATGCTCTCACATGGCCAGCGAATATATAGCCTCTTCCAGGGAAGTCTTGCTCACTGCCTTCTCATGGCGGGGGTGTTGTTTACGAAATTGAGAGGGCGAAAAGCGAATGTCCGGCGCTTTAACCAGGTTGGTGGATGTGGAGGATCCACCTAGGGGAGTTGGAAAACCCTTATTCTAAACCAATGGTGCACATGGGCTCCAGTATCCTGAGGGGAACAAATGGCGTACGAATCAAGCATTGATCACCGGCTACCATGGGATTGCATCTCCTCACGATGCTCCACTGCCTTGTGGATCATTTCATCTGGAGAATACAAAAAACTGTAGGTAAATGTACTTTACCTTTCAGATTTCTAGCTTAGTCCTAGAACTAAATAACTGCAATTTGCAAAATTGTAAATTATTATTATTATGTATAAACTTTTTCGTTCAGCCTTTAATTCTTTCTTCTACTCACAATATTAGTCTTGTTATTTAAATATTGATTGTATTCTAGGCAGCTGCACAACAACGGTGTATTTACCTAGTTCTTTTTTTCGTGCGTCAATTCATTAGTTCTGGTGGCCCTTTGTCGTGGTTACAGGGAGTACAGTATGGACCCCCAAAGTGGCGCCAACTATGTGGGTTGAACAGGGATCTCTCAGATCGTCCTTGGAAGATTACAGCTGTAGGTTTGTCATTTTATATCTGTGCACGGTTATGCTTCTTATCTAAGTCTTCAGTTTAATTTTAGTAAAGAACGTTCCTCCAAAGAATTATGAAGTCGAGCTTCACTGTTTAGCGCTGGTGTTGTAAATTTTAGTGATTTTGTATCCACTACTCATTTACCAGATGAATTTTCGTTATTTTTTAGAGTTATATCAGTTTACGATTCCTCTAAGTTTTTCAGGTTAGTTCAATTCGTAGATAATATCCGTTATGACATTAGTTGAATTATCATTAAAAATCAAGGAGAACTGGACAGTTGTTTCATCCCATCATGGGACTCCTCATCATTACTCACCCCCAGTCACACATGGGACTGAAATCAGGACGTTCTAGTCTCACAGTGAGCATCTATCCATTAGATTGTGAGTTGGCGTTCAATGGTGCACGTTTCTAATAGTGGCACAGAATTAACAAATGGGATTGATGACAACTATTTCACTTTCGACGTGTCTGAAATTTACAGGTCACGCTTGCCCACTAGAAATTCAGAAACTCATATCGAAGTAAATCAATAGTAAGCTTACGGTTATAGCTTTCATGTGGAGGTTTCGGGGAGATTTGTTTAATTTGTGACCGATCAATCCTTGTTGGGGTATCATCTTCAAATTCATTTAAATGTTCATATTCACGTGGATTTATGTTTAAATCATTCAGTTCAGGATGGGTTGGAAATGCAAATCATGTCCCACTTACTTCACTTCCGGGAATTATACATAACTTCCTGGTCTATGAAGCTCGTTGCGTTGTCCGGAATTTCGTGATTTCCTACACCTTCACTTCGGTTGATGGTTTGATTTAAAACTAATAAATTTTAAATGTTAAACGTATTTTTAAAGAGACAGCCTCTTAATAAAATATCGGAAGTTTTGCTTTTGATTAACATCAGTGCCAGATAATCTGTACTGAATAAAGCTGCGTTGGTCCAAGCTGTCTTACCATAATAGCACTACGAGATCGAATTAACAAGATGAATGACAAAGGAGTTTTAATAATGTAGTAGCAATGATAACAACTTAACATTGAGAATATGGTACGGAAAGGCATGGTGAGAAAGTATCTATAAAGGAATATTGGAACTCGAGATGTAGGAGATAATGAGCGAGGGGATTTACACCATTTTGTCCTATTCTAAGCCGTTTCACCAGAACTCTCCATACTAATCGCGGTTATCGCGCAAACCCTAATCACGTAGCCTGCTACCTATGCCAGTAGTTATGTTATTTATAATTCATATGGTTTAATCCGAATAATTATCACTGAGGGAGCAGATGTTAATCAGCTTACCACTTTAAGTCTTACACTTAGGGAAGCAGTTGCTTCAGTTTACTTATATTGACAATTTTGATCATTCTTAACTCTGTAGTCACTTCTGACCGATTTATTTAAGTAGCGAAGTTGCAAACAGATAGAATTAATCAAATCAGATACTCGGGTAACTCGCCTCTTCCCCGTCTAATTTAAAAGGAACCAACGTAATATTGAGTCTAAATGAATCCTTGAGACAGGATTAAAAGCCAGATAGTTTACTTTTTAACAAAGGGAGCTAACGGCATAAATATCATCACAATAGTATGTGTTTCGGCGACATCCTTTAAAGTGTAAACATGTCCTCATTGCATGTTCAATAGATTTTTCAATCTCATAATTGCAAATGGAATTAAAATTCCATTGAAGGTTTTTATAAAGTACAACTTGTTCATCGGACACGCCTACTTTCAGGATTATTTCAGTTCAACATATATTCGGAACTTTGCGAGGACATTTGTGTTGTGTGACTTAAACAGAGCTCGCACATATTTTATGGAATATGTGGTGAACAATTTTTTGTAGACATAATGCATTAATGCGGCAGTTGGTTGATTGTTCAAGCTCCTCGAATAATAGTCATGTAGTCCTGACAAATGTTTCTGAAGGCCTCAAGTACATAAAACAATTGTACTTGACTATTGAGTTTCATGAACAATCATTTTATTATCGATTTCAGTCTGGAATTAGAATTATACCAACTGACACGATATATATTTCCCGATTCACCCGACCTTCTTGTGATTGAACGTAAGAGTGGGTAAGTGAGTTCATAAAATCTCATTAATCTGGGAAGTTACAATCAATGTCGCTCATGAAGTTTCCCCATTTTTCATAAAAAAAATATTCATTCATGTTATCGTAAATACGTGTAATACATTAAATTACATATTCTGTTATTGTCTTATTGAAAAAGCAGTTTATAAATTAAATCTCTTCATTCACATAACTTTGTACTTAATAATAGACATGTTACATTTCCCTTTTCTCAGTGCCTATTTCAAGTATTGGTCATCCATCTTACACAATCTTTGTTTTACTGTCTCTAACAATTCATCCTTTTAACTCTCTTTAGGATGATATTTACAACCTAACGCATGGAGGAGATTCGAATCCATTAAAAGAAGCTTTATCATTATCTGAATTAATGCATGTTGTAGCTATCCTGTCTCATGTTCACGCTTTAGCTTGTTTCATATTTGGTTGTGGGATTCGTCCTGAAATTGATAATTATGATGGATTAATAAATCTAAATGTAGATAATTGTAATGAAGCATACATATATAACAATCAAACTAGCAATGGAAGTTCTCAAAATAATCTTCATGGTTCCGAAAATGGGAGTACATGTTCCTGTTTAGTTGAACCATGGGACGATCATGTAAGTTTAACTTTCTTGCTATTTGTCTCAGTAAACTCTTTTACGGTCGATTTACCCAGTCATTTTATTCTTGATTCTCATACAAGGTGGCGGTACATATCAATCCTGCAATACACACTTTTATCTGATCAAAATTTGTTTCAAACTAATATTTGCCGATATGTTCAGAAGAGTTTGTTTTTATTCTGAGTCTGCTATCAATGTAAAGCAAGACAAAAGGCAGAAGGAATGTGTATTAATTGCGAGACGTTACAGAGTATTTTTATATACATAACCTTCAATCGTTCATATCCATCTTTCGATGTGTTCTGCCATCTAACTGTCTTCTCGTCTGATCTCCAAGCGTTCCACCAACGTCTTTCTTTCGATGCACTGAAACTCTTCACTCCGTCTGACAACTTTGACGTCACGTTTCACTACATACTACTTGCAAACATCCTTGTGAGTATCGTCCACTACATCGGCAGTACATTTGTTACACCTATCCTCATTTGTAACAAGTTGAATAAATGATGGAGTTGATCATTTGTCATTAGCTCAAATTTACTTCGCTATTATGGGCTTACTAACCATTTCTTTACGCGGAAGTATTCTCATTAATAAGTCTGTCGTATCGGCTGCTGTTTCATGAGAATACGGTTTGTCTAAAATTAATCGATTTTACTTTTTCTGTTTTCATTTGAGAGTCTTTGTTTTCTGGAAATGCCTTCAAACACTCACAACCCTCGCGGCTGTTATATCACTTCTGTTGCTTGGCTGATCTTTTACAATCACTGAAAACCGTAGTAGTAAGCTACACCTCATCAAAAACTAACAACTGGAGGTCCTTTTTCAAAATTGATTATGTAGTATATTCCCTTATACTTAACACAGTCATTAATTCCACGGTGATGTTGAATTTTTAGTGACTTTCGGGAGGAAATTTTGTGACCCGATACTATTTTTAATCCACTCAATGTGTAAAATGTCAGTTTACATGGAAATATTACTATATTTCGGTTTCACTTGATAAAAATGTTTATTCTAGAGTGTTAATCAATGGTGACCTATAAGTATTCATGGAAATGTCCCATCAACTGAACTTAAACCTACTGCAAAATAATACAAAAGTTAAAGTAGTACTGACCAACTGAAAGTTGTTTCTCTGAAAAACATTGTTATGTTGCTAGTGATTTATTGGACTTTTCAACATACAACAGTAAAGCCCCCCGAATTCCCTGGTACGACCGAAGGTGGGCAGAGTCCACCCTCCTTCTCGAAATGCTCATACATTGTCACAGGTGTACAGCCATTGGCAGGGAAGTCATACTCACTGCCTTCTCGCGACGAGGGTGTTTACGAAATTGAGAGGACGAAAAGCGAATATCTGGCTCTTCAACCGGGTTGGTGGACACAGAGGGTCCACCTAGGGGAGTTGGAGAACCCTGATCCTAAACCAATGGTGTACATGGGCTCCAGGATCCTGAGGGAACAAATGACACATGAACCTATCGTTAGTCACCAGCTACCATGGAACTGAATTTCCTATAGTTGCATCACTGCCTTGTGGAATAGACCTCCAGGTCAAAGATTCGGGGAGTTGCCCCCTAAGAAGACCACCTACTTCGGTTCGGCGAACCAGGTAATAGCACAGCCCTAACACAAACCAATGATAACTACTATTGGAAAAATTTCTCTTGCTCCAACGCTCACTTAGACAAATCTTATTCACAATTATATGATAACATTCGTTTTTATTTCTTTTATACTACGTCACTTATGTATTCCCCTTTATTCTCATTTTGCGTATTTTATTTTTCAACTTATACAATAGCTCACCTGTGGTGAAAACTTTGTCTTGTCTAAACGATCTCGAGTCACTGACTGGTCGAAAGTTGAATTCTACCACCAAATACGAATACTGAAACAGTCTTTCTGAAACCACGCATACCATTCAAACTGGCTTCCATCAACGTTCGCACACTAATGCAGATCAGTCATCAGATAGGGTTGTGTATGTCTTTAGAAAGTCTCAATATCGATGTCCGTTGTCTATCCGAGACCTGTATTCAAGACTCTAGTGAAGTACTAAAAATTCGCTTTCCATCTGTTGCTTCGAATAACTCCGTGACATCGTCTGGTTTTTCTGGCATTGATGTCGCACTAGGCACTAGAGCTAAGGCAGCAGTCGGTTATCTCAGTCAGTCAGTCAGTCACAACGTAGAACGTCGTACATACGTACATCAGTTCGAGTTGTCATATCACATTAGCACAGAGATGCAGTTGACGATTCAAATCCCATAGTGGTAGAAGTAGTAATAGTATAAGCAGTAATCGCAAAGATTAGGTTTTGTAGATGTTATTCAAGGAGTATAATACAGTGAAATAAATTTGAAAAGAGAAAAAGAGACATGAAGAATTAAGATTAGAATTTGGCAAAACACGACAAGTGGATGCACCTTCGTCATTGCAAACGATTGTAAACCATGTCATTCAAGGTCTCTAACCATCAGTTTCTATCATCTTGCGGATCCCAAACAGGTAGTCTACACCTACCAACATGGCTCAGTCCACTTGTCAGTGACTTCATGGATTTGTGCTACGTTTTGGTCTAGCCGCCCCTAGCTTCCTTCCAACCTACTTCTACACCATAAAACATTGCACGTCGGGGCAGTCGGTGGTTGGGCATACGTAACACGTGTTCCAGCCATCTCAACTGAGGAAGTTTCACTACTTCAATCGATTCGCCATCCTTACCTAGTACCCGTTTCCTAGCGACTGCATTACTTACCCGGTGGTCCAAGGATATACGAGCAATGCTTCGAAGACACCTATGATCGAATACTAGCAGTCTACGAATGTCCTCTACTCTTATCGGCCATGTTTCACGGCCATAAAGTAGGACGGAACAAACTGCTGAGCAGTAAACCCGTCCTTTTGTTGCTAGACGGATATCTCGCCTACGCCATAAATGACGCAAGTCGGGAAAACTTAGACGAGCCTTCTATGTCCGTGTTGAGATTTCTTAACACACCAGACCACAAGGGCTGATAAGACTACCAAAATAAGTGAGGCGGTCGACACGCTCAACTACTTCACTTCTTATCATTAGTTCAGGTGTCGATGCAACCCAATCATGAAGTAATATTTTGCATTTCGAAGGGGAGAATTGCATCCCGAACATGCCTGCATTGTTGCTTATAGTGGTCAGAAGACTCTGCATTTTGTCAATGTCTTCACCAAATAGAACTATGCCATCGGCGTATTCTAAGTCAACAAGTGAGTCTCCTGGTAAAATTTCAACTCCTGGAGATTTAGCTGATGAAAGTGTTATCTCTGGAAGCATGTCAACGACAAAGTTAGACAAGAATGGAGAGAGTGGACAGCCCTGACGAACACCACTTGAAGTAATCAATTCTGATGACAGTTCGCCATAAGCTCTCACTCGACCAGTCATGTTTTAGTGAAGAGCCTTTATAAGGTTAATGTACTTCTTTGGTACTCTTTTAAGTGACAAACACTGCCATAGAACCTCACGATCAACGGAGTCAGACGTCATCTTAAGGTCGAGAAATACTACGATTGTGGGATGTCTGAATATATGTCTAAGTTCTGGGACCTGACGTAGAGTGAATATCTGGTCTATGCAACCACGTCCAGATCGAGAACCAGACTGGTTTTCTCTAGTCTGCTCTTTACGAGCTTTGGTTAGGCGTCCAAGTATTATTGAAGCTAATATTTTAGACACTATATTAGTCAAACTGATCCCTCTGTGATTGTCACAAGAGGACTTTTGTCCTTTCTTATAGACTGGCACAATCAGTGATTGGGACCAGTCAGATGGAATTACGTCCAGTTCCCAGATTCTACCTAAGACCTCAATCGGTCTTGCTGCTAGTACTGGACCGCCATCTTCAAAACTCCCAGCGGTAAACCTGTCAAGGCCTGTTGCTCTCCCTCGCTTCAGATTTCCTATAGCTTTTTTGACTTTGTAAAGAGTTGGTGGATTTACATTAACTTGCCATTCAGGTCGACTAGAGATCGAGGGAAACCGAAGTATGGCTGAAGGCCAGTTGAACTTATCCCTAAAGTGTTCTGCCTATCGATCCAATCTCCTAGATTGCGAAGGAATAATATGTCCATCTTTTTCCGAGATTGTTTCTCTGACGGTTGAGTTCCTAATACCGGTTTCTTTAACAAGTCTGAACAGTTGTCTGCTGTTACCTATTACCGCTGCCACCCAAATCGATCACATTGCTATCATTCCGACCATTGCTGCTAGCTTGAAGTGGTGGTCGGGTTTGCCTATCTCGACGAACCAATTGAGCTATACTGGCTGGAACAATCGTTCCTCAGAGTTCTACCATGCCAGACAGGTCGGTTGAAGAGCGGTAAGACTACATGCAGCAAACCAAAGGTCCGAAGGCGTAGACGTACTGCTGACTGTACAGAGGTGTGACCGAAGTAAGGTGTTTCCTTCAGACAACCATCATAACGGCGATGCTGCCTTCCCATAAGGAGGGGTGGGTTTAGAAAAGTTCAACCCTAGAAATGCACTCTTCACATTGTCCCACGGATATCCCTCTCTGACAGTAAGGTCTCAACCAGTACGGAGCAAACACGAAAATTGCTCACAAAAAGGTCGTGTGTGACCGACCTCAAGCAGTTGTACTTTGGGTACTGTGGTCACGCTCTCAGGTCACTAAGACAACATCAACTGGGACTCAAACCCTGCATTTTTTAATTCAGACGCTCAGCGTTCTATCCACCGAACTGCTGAGTTCAAATAGCCACCGACGATCGCAAGGAGTATGATATTTTTATTATTAAAAAGGATTTGAATTGTGCTGTTGATAATCCTAACTAAATTCTGATCAGTTCTTGTCGACCTACATGCATCCTGTTCAGATACCCTCTATATAGTCATCCTCAACATGCCTTTATAAAATAAATGTGCTGAGCTGTACGTAATTTCTTTAAATGCTCCCATGTGAATTGGCAATTATCATGGTTTGTACCTATAGTAGTGGTTGTAGATGTGCACGTCAGAAGAATCCAGAACTAAGATAAAATTGCTGTTCAGTGCTTTCCGACTTTTGACGGTACCTTAGGAATATTTCTCGCATCTGCTGGGACCACTGGGGAAGTAATAGTGAGGTTAGACACAGGATACTACGGAATTATGTTAAATCAGTTGATGAGGTTATGAATCTACATCGACTGAGATGGTCGATCCACGTGTTACGTATGCCCAACCACCGATTATCACGGCGCGCAATGCTGGCTAGTGTTGGGGATGGTTGGAAGAAAGTTAGGGGCGACCAAACCAAAAGGTGGCATCAGTCCTTTAAGTCACTAACTTCTAGTCTGAGCTATTTCGGTGGATGCAAACTACTTGGTTGGCGTCTGCGTGACTATCGTAACCAATGGTGGGAGACTCTGGGTGACATGGTTAAGAATCGATCACAATGACGTAGGTGTATACACTCTTTGTCTTCCCTTCTACCTGTAATTTATCCTTATATACAATCTTTCTTTAATATATATATATATATATATATATATCATTATTTTGTGGCGCATATGTATTGTGAATAAGGGCAATATCAAGGTATTACGCACAGTATGCACATATGCCAGTAAAAAACTGAACATATTTAGTCCGAAGCATCAATGGGAAGATACGAGTAAGCAATACCAAGTGAATTTAAACTTCACCCCATTGCACAAGCAAGTGGCAATGAGGACTTAGTTGCTAATTGGATAACGCGATGGCGTTTGAAGTGAACGGTACTGGGTTCATAGTCGGAGAGTGGTCATCAACTCTGAGATGCAGGTAAATCCAGCTGACGAGTCAAAAATAAGACGAAATGGCGCGCGTCCTGAATTCCACTCTTAGCAACCATCCATATTTGTCTACGTAGTTTTAAATTTTGTTTTCTAATGGATGGCAAAGTTGAGAATATTTAGTAAAATTCTAAAACGTATGCTCATTGGTAACTGAATTTTTGAAGGATTCTCTTAAGTTTCAGTGAGTTATGACTCAAAGATTTTGATCTCTATCTATCAAATAAAATTCCTCATTGTCTTCCAGATATCAGAAAACGGAAATAATAATCATCAGGACTCACACAATGATGAACCGTCTGATGTAGATGGAAAATTACGAGCTTCCAAATTACTGGAAATCATCCAGACGGAAGATTTAAGTTGGGAAGATGTCGCAGAAGATATTGTTGCTGAACAATTTTTAACCGCTATCATATCTAATAATCAATGTGAGTTAGATTCAATCTGTTATATTTCACAATTAGTTCTTTAATGATTAAAGCCTATTCTGTTTGTTTAGAATACCAAAAATTCAGCAGTCATGGCATTCTTTTTTTAGTAACTTCACGCGTAATTCTTTAAATTTTAAATTGTCATTTTTGTAATAACTAAGCAAGACTACATTATTTTTATCTACCCCTGAAAATGTCAGAGTTACGCTCCTAAAATGGTCGTAAGTTCGTGTTTGATAGTCAAATAAAGAAAAACAAAATAATAAGTTAAATGAATCCTTAGCGGTTGGCGGTTAATTCAATTATCTATCGGGAAGTATTGACCCTCATGAATACTAGGTAGGTATTTAAAATCTAATAAAGTGTAGCGACTGACAATGTTTTATAGATCATAGATTATAAGTTACCAATGATAATACAGCCTTTAGTATCATACCTTCATTGGTTATTTATTCATGGATGACTTTTATATTTCTTTTTGTGTATTTTTTAATTATGTTCTTTACCGGTTAGTTTTATCCTCAAATCTGATGGAAGTGGTGTTAATTTCATTCAAACACAATATTTCACACATTAAAAATCTGTTTACAAATTACAGTCAATCAGAATTATTTCGTTTTCCACTTTATATATCTTCATGGCCCTTTAACCTTTCGTTTATCGGTTTCTGTTCTGGTTTAATAAATGTACATTTCTGAAATCCACTCCTAATTTGTGAACTTAAAAGGTGGATTCCATATTTTGAGAGATAAATTCTTATAAATAATTAAAACTGTTCGTTTATATCTTATAATCAATTTACTTTTCATAATTAAAAATGACTTTTACCAAAAGTGTAAAGCTATCTAGTATTGCTTGTTAATTTTCAGTGGATTCTGAAGCTGTCTTCCCATCAAATAATATGATGAAGCATATTGAAAAGCTCTCTTATCATCCACTCATCTCACGTTTCTTAGATTCTCCACATTCTGGTTACAGAAATTTCGATGCTCGTCCATTTCATGCAACTGTAAGTTCAATTAAATCATTCTATTATTATTATTATTATTATTATTATTATTATTATTATTATTATTATTATTATTATTATTATTATGTGTTAGTATTAGAGTTCTTATTAAGCCTGTCATGGACCATTTAGTATAAAATACAAGTTTGAAATGAGTTCTCGATTTATTACATTAAAAAAATTGACGGGGTTTGTTGTTGGTAGTGTAGTGGGATTTTTCTAATCAACTGATATCAGTTACTTGAAAAATCACTGAAAAGCGAAGAACATAGAGTAACTATTGTCTTCTTTTTCCAAAACTACTTAGTCATGTGCATCCACTCTCCTTCTCCGCTGCCATCAAGCTGAAAAAATCTTCACAAACCATGTTGTTGCTCATTGCGGACTAATCCCAAGTTAGATCATTCGATGCTCTTGTGGAAACCTATTATATGTTCAGGTCAATAATCACAGATGAAGACGAATTACATACGGGATTTTATGCTAACTTGTCTGTAATACTAGTAGAACGATATTAGAATTGTTAATTGGTGTCTTGAATATTCTCAGCTCGTTAGTTTCGAGCATAGATAAAATAACTGTTTAATATCCCTTAGTGTTCTGTAGTTTTTTCATTTGTGATAATCATCACCATTTGTTCGCCCCAAAACCAAGTGTATAGTAAGTAAGGATCATTTAACCATTACGTTCTTTCCAGGTGGTTCTTCCAGTAATACCTCTTGACTTGATCATTCTATCCTTTTTTTCCGGTAATATAATGATTTGAAGTGTCACTTCTTACGAATATTTCATATATATTGATCATTTATAATGAAAAATTTTCTTTACATCATACATTCACTTGAAAAATACAACTGATTGATCAACAAACAGTCGCAGAAAATGAAACTGATCAATTCCTTTTTTGCAAGACTGAGGTTCAATACTCCTTTTACTGATTTTATTCTCTCTCATACACATAGATGATAGTTTAAAGAAACAGTTTATTGTTATGGTTTTTCGCGGTAAATAAGATGACTTATAATGATGATTACGAACGGTGGTCACAGTAGTAACAGTAGTAGTATTGGTCATCTCAGATAAGGGTACAGTTTTATTGACGTATTATTATTTTTAGGAAGATGTCAGTTTCCACTATAAAATTTCTTAATATTTTGTATATTGGCTTAGTTTATATTTATTGTATGCATTCATAATAAGGCCTGCTATCTCTTTAAATCATTGTTAACCGTCGCTTTCAGTTCATTGTTGTGAAAAAAATAAGTAAATAAATACTTCATATGTCTAGAGGCCGGATACCTATGTATATAAACAATATATAAGTATTTGCTCAATCACCGACTTCCCTATTAACTTTTAATGTTCATTGATTATTATTATTATTATCCTCACTTTTTCTTGTTAAATTATGTGAATGACTGGCACGCATAATTTATGTGCTTTGATCCTTTACTATCGAAATAGTTCATTTCCTTTCTAGATGTAACCATTATTGGTGTAGGTAGTTGAGCGCCTAGGTAAATATTATTACTGATTTCCAAATGTTTCAGTGATGAGTAACATTTCTCACGTGTGAGTTTGACTATGCGAATTTAATTCAATTACTTTACAGATATAAGTTTTTGATTAAATTCAATTTAATCCTATCGTAATCTTTTTCTCCATGAACTTCATATTCTAGGAGTATTCATGGCAAGAAGAAGGATTACCTCTAGCTGATCGTCTGTGCACTGAGCTAGGTTCCCTTTTGGATGAGAAATTCCGAAATGCTTATGATTTGACTTATAATACGTAAGTATATTTTTTAAAATTACTTATAACTCTATTGTATTGCGTTTTGATTATATTCGAATTGTTTTCTTACTATAATTAGCTGCCGTATAGAAGGAAGAGTTTTGGTATTTGTTTGATTCGTAAAACAATCTAACTCCTTTGACTTCTTGTGTATGATATTCAGTTGTTTTTCCAAAGAATGACTTCATTTGTTTTGGAACTAACCACATGATTTGATCTGTAACAATATGAACACCCAAACTGTCTTTATTGTGTTGTAAATAAGACATCTGGAAAAAGTTATCTTAAGTATTCAAATATTTATAACAGTGACTATATCACATTCGCCCAGTGTAATTGATATTTTTATCTCTATCACAACTTGAGGGAGAGGGTTTTAAGGTTTGTTATGAATGTTTGTTGATAAGATGGTCTACAAAATACCTACTATTTGAAGTTCTTTACTTTAATGCAGTAAACTACAGGTTCCAACCACTTCGGTTTTTGTGGCATGGTGGTTGTATCAGTCTTTGTATCTTTGAGGGTATGTATAGAAACCTGCACTTAATGTTACAGTGTTTCTATGAATGAAGGTGCAAACTGTTTATCACTAGACAATACACATTACCGGAATATATTTAATTATCAGAATGGGGATTTTTGAAGACTGTAGTAATTTTAACAGTTGGATTCATTAGTCGATCTAAGCTAGACCACCATTGAAAACCTGGAAGCACTAGACGGTCCTTTTGTCAGTATGAGACTTCTCAGCAGGGCGCGCCCACGATTCCGCATGAAGAACTTGAACCCAGGACCTTCCGTCTCGCGCGTGAACGCCTAACCTCTTACCCACTGAGTCGTCATCCAACGGTGTTAATGTTTAATTTCAATCAATCCATGATCTTGCGCAACCCTTCATCCATTGTCTGTAGTAGGTAATTGTCCCACACCCGACACGGATTGGGCTCTGCTGGTTATTAACATCTTCGGACGCCGACTCAGTGGTCTAGAGGTTAAGCGTTCACGCGCGAGACGGGAGGTCCTGGATTCAAGTTCTTCATGCGGAATCGTGGGCGCGCCCTGCTGAGAAGTCTCATACTGACAAAAGGACCGTCTAGTGCTTCCAGGTTTTCAATGGTGGTCTAGCTTAGATCGATTAAGGAATCCAATTGTTAAAATATATTTAACTGATAACTTCTAGAAGCCGAATTGTTGAAGTAAGTTTCCTAATAAATCAACATTGAAAGACAACCCATCTGGCTGTTGAAATGCTTTTCCTCTTTCGTAAATGTAATGTGTTTGTACTGGCGCTTGCTGTTTCGCATGATTGCTGTTCGAACAATCATAAATTGATAAATACAAAGTTAGGACTAAATTAACGAAGTTATACTCTCTCTCTCTCTCTTCCACTGGTGTACCATTTTATTGTTGATTTAATCGATTGGTATCATTTTAAAATGGGAATCTTATTAAATAGACTGGCTTTGTTAAAGTTTAATCGGTTTTTACTTAGCTGATGTAATAATTAATTAATAGTAGGCATTAATTGTCCACCGATATGTTTAAGGAGAACGAAATTTGTGTTTTGGAGTGTGAGTGAATATAATTGTGACATATTTTGTTTTTACATATTCTAGGTTCATTTGGTGAATTTATAGAAAAAACTATGTCCACTCGTAATTTGATCAGTGATTCATTCATTTCAAGCAATTAATTTTTATTCATCTATTCACAAGTTTGAACTTTACCACCACTTTGGGAGATTCGCTAGTATTTTATATTAGGCTTTGCAGAAAATAAGCGTGAATCAGTAGAATACATAAATTTGATTATCATCAAGTATGATAGGTTATAATACCCTTGTCCTCATACAAGCTTAAGTACTCTCAGATTAGTTAAGTCTTAACAGTGCCATTTTATCCCGTAGTTATTCGATTATACTTTTGTTTACAACTTGGTTAAAGTGTACTGTACTGACGACGTTGAGCTGCCTATTAGCCAACCAAAAAATAGGTTTTATCTATAAAAAGAATTAACAAAAAGCACTAAAATTATGGTGAGTAAATAGCCTTGGTATGACCAATGAACCCTTGCATGTTGCGTTATTTATTATAGTAAACAGAGAAGGGTTAAGTTCAGTTACTAATAATACTTAAGCTAAAGTTGTAAATAAGTAATAAAGTTTTCATCATCAACTGAGTTCAGCTATAATGGAAAAAGCTAGGGTAAGATATTCGGGGGTAGGTTAGGGTTATAAATCAAGATTAGGGTTATGATTTTCATCATGGGCTAATATCAATGCAATGACGCATTCCCACCCTTTTGTTTATGAACTTACAAACGCTAGAGTTGAGATTGCGAACTAGGAATTAGAGTGGCTAAACAAATATTCTTTATGAATTGAATCACATTAAATACTCCCATAGACAATTTGTATCAGAAGCAAGTATTTCTCGCAATTTATCTTAAGTACCCCGTCACATCCACTGTGTGAATGCATTTAAGGTACTTTTTATATAAAAAACCAATATATTGACAGTTTTTACTTATTTCAAAGTAAGATGCATGTTATCCTTCATTGTACATTGAATTCCAGAAAGGCGGTCTTTCACTTCTGATTGGTTTACTCAAGGCCATCAGTTTAGCATGCTTTTACTATTCATTTCTTTCACTGTGCTGGTTGTTAATATAATTTGAGCTGTTTGTTGAAATAAGGTGTGCAGTCTTCGTTTCGCCTTTTGCAAATTGTAAACTGTTGAAAAATTATAACGTGTTTGGTCGATTGAAATACGAAGTACATGAATTATTGTAAAGAAATTCTCAACCGAATGAAGATTGGATATTATTATATTATATATTCCAGAAACAAAAGAATACATAAAAAGTTATATTTGTTTTTGTTATTGAGACAAAGTTGAGGATTGAGAGTGTACTAAATTTCTTGATATTGACTCTTAACAAGTTAACATGCTTTACTCTTCGGAAACTCATTAAAACTTATAGCTACTGAAAATCTATGGAGGAATTCATTTAAGCATTTTATATATCTACCGGGATTGATCGACTTCTGTTTAGGATGTCAACAGCATCTGTGTATGACTATAGTTTGATTAATACGTTGATAAGCGATTCGCCAACCAGAATCCTGGTTATAATTTCTTCATCCCCGTGTTTACTATTTTCAACTATTATAAGTATTCTAAGCCTCAACCAATTATTCGTTTCGACTAATGAGTTTAGCCTCGACCCTAAGGCTAGATAAATCTTAGTTTCTTTTGGTCCAGAATATATGCCTTTCTCATAGCCCAGTCTTCTGTTCGATAATACAACACAGCAAACAGTAATGCTGCAGTATTATATCCATCTCAAACACTCAGCATATGTACATGGATTATCAAATCCCAAGTACAGTCATGTTGTAAGTTGCAGCGAACGCACCAAATAGTACATAATTAAGGAATAGTAAATCGTATCACAACAGTTGGTAGGTCCAAATGGAGCTCGCAATATAAGGGATATAGAAATACAATAATCCAATTGTTTATTAATTACATAATAAAAGTATTATTAGTAATAATCCGTAAAATAGTCCCATAAGTTTCATTGTCTTCAATACTTACCCCGTTATAATAGGCTAAAGGAAACTGTTCTCGAATAATGTTTATTTTATCGTTCGAAGAAATTGGTAGTGGTTCTATGGAATCAGCAGTTTAGTGAATAACGCGTTGGCCTTAAAAACGACTTACGGGTCGTTTGAGTCCACTTTCTGGACTGGGTTTATGTGAAAATGAGGGGAAAATCGTCTAATACAGTGGTCGTCTAGTACTTATTTGATCCAATTGTATCTATTGCAAGAGAGGAATATTTCTGATCATCCTTCCTGAATTCATTGTCCACAGTATCACCACAAACTCGTTGTGGGAAAATATGCAAGTATGTTGTCTATCCATTGTCTGTAATTTATCATAGTATAAAGATTCTACTTAAATAGGTAGTAATTTCTTCATAACTGTCTTACAATTAAAACTTGTAACTTAGGTTCTGTTGTCGTTTAAAACTGGAAACTGCCTTATTTTCCTCGTAACTATTTTTATTTTTTCATATTTCTTTCTTAAGTCTAAACGGGATTCAAAACGTCGATACATCTCTTTATCGTCGTACAGTTTGGAATGAAGTGCAAAGTTTTTTCGGTATATGTCATGATGATTTTCGTTATGATCGTGTAAATCGTTTGTTAACTAATTCACAACGTGCCTATTTAAAATTATGTTCCACTTTCCCAGTTGCTGTTTATACAATACAAAATCTCAAATTTGAAAATATTTTCCCTGCCCTATCATCTTCAGAAATGGTAAGTAGCGATTTTTCACTATTCCGTTTGTCTGTTCATTAATGCTGTTGAATATCTGAATTTACTATTGCCCACCATTCAGGAAGCTTCTTTCAATGTATTGCACAAATAGATTAAAGATGTTTGTTCGAATGACCAGTTTTATAACTGTAAAGTGTAGATTGTTTTTAGATATCAGCTTCTGTTACTTATAATCTGTACCGCGGACTAACTGTAGTTAGAGAATATTTAAAAGCTAGGGAGCACTGAATAGTCGTTTCATCCTAGTATGCAAGTCCTCAATTGTGCACATCCACAACCCTACTGGAAATCGAACTCAGCACCTTCAGGCTTTTCGGCAGGTGCTCAACCTTAAAACCAACAAGTCAGGATGCAGCTCAAACTTTAAAAAATCTTCACTTCCAACCATTGAATTCAGATATTCGAATCTCGTGCTTATCTCATTTTTGACAAACATCCGGGGTCAGTTGTTCTTGGCTTATGATTTATTATTGTTTCTTACATCCCCTATGTTTTATTTTTTTTTAACTCTTTTGGTCTTAGATTCATGTGATCCTTATGATTATTGAGGCTAGGCAACAAGCTTGTTTATCGTATATCCTTCGAGCGGTTTCTCAATGTCAAGTCAGAAACAATTGAATATATATATATATATATATATATATATATATATAATGTATTTCTCCATCAATATTTTCGAACAGGTTTGTCGATTTCATAATTTTACACGCACAGAACGCTTATTTTTTCAAAGATTTTTCAAAACTGATAGTTAGATTAGCAGGATAAATCAAGCAGTAATACTGTCAGATGAGCAGACATGTTTTAACGCAACAAAATAAATGTAGTGATGAAGCGAAATGATTATTAGATTTATTGATGAGGGTGGGGAGGCAGTTTACAATATGAACCTGAATAAGGGAAGAAAATATGTGGTTGTGATATGATACAGTATATCGCTTGACGAGGATGTCTACTATCCCCATTCTCGTTTTATTTCGTGTGTATTCTTCCACTAGTTACAATTTTTCCCATTGTTCCAAAGGTTTAATGTGATGTGTGCACGTATTTGGATCAACTTTATTGACACTGTCATTTACGTTCGTTTAATTGATCTCATTGAAAATAAGTGAATTTATATGATCACTTAGCAATTCTGTTTTGTACCTATGAGATTTTAAATGTTTCTATCCTCGATTGGTTTTTTACCTAAATCTAGTCACTCAATCAAAGAATTACTAGTTAAGCTTATAGATTGCATCACTTATTTGCTCCATTTTTATTTAGTTACAGTTGTCTGTACTTACAGATGGACTTTTAATATTTACTCAGAAAACTGATCTTCACTGACAACCCGCGTCACATGCAGATTTAATAGTGTCGAAATATCTGTATGAATTCTCATTTACTGAATAGTATTATACGTTACCTTATTTCATATCCATAAAATATGATTGTTGACGAGTAATATGAGACTATAGATATTAATTATAGATAAGTAAAGTGTCAACTGCTTCCAATCCAACCATCAGGTAATATCAATTGATATTAAGTAAAAGTTTTGTATGTGATTTGGTAAAGCTTCAAAAGTATTGGCACTCGATTAAAATATTCCAGATCTATTTTGCGCATATATATTCACTGTTTATTCATATATACGATGGTATTTTGATAAAAGGCATTGTTATTATTACTAAGCCAAAACAGCGTTACTAGTTTGCTTACTATAGAGTTATTCTGAGCCTAATTGATGAGATCCCATTTATAATAGCAAACACCAATCACATATTGAGATTACTATTATTTTATCTATTTCGTTGTTAGTGTTATTACTAATAAGTTTTTTTATCAATATTGTAATAACTGATAAATTTGTTTTGTAGGCAGTTACTTCATATCTACTAGTCTACGCAAAAATATTTTATGAGTTTTCTTTATCATTTTCTTTGCAGTTGACTACACCTCTGAACTATGGTTATCATGTTGATTGTTCACCTGACATACATGGATTAAAAACAAAGTATTCAACTTATTTCATTCCCCATTCTTATTCCACTGATGCATTTGCACTCACTCAGAATACTTTCATTCATTTAAGTGAACTAATTCTCTCCGTTTTTGGATAATTCATTACATGACAGTTTGTTAACGCCATCATTATTTGTTTCTTCGTGTTATTTATTTGTTTCTCTATTCGGATGTTCTCTATTTTTTCAGTTCTCAGTTACTTCACCGTTGTCCTTTTTTCTTTGAGCTTAAATTAAGATATTGGTAGCTTTTTCAGCGTCAAGTACATATTATATACCATTCTTGTATTTTGGCCTTTTTAACCTTTTACTGTGATTATTTTAAACAAGGCTCTATATTTGTATCCCCTCATGTATGGCAGTTCAACTACTTAAAAAAGGAAGGTAACAGTTAAAGTGCGTACTCGGTTGAACCGTGTGTTTTTGCAAAATTATCGACCACGTAACTCTGTCAGTTAAGCTTGTAAAAGTCCATGCCTGTGTCCATATTAAATGGGAGTGAACTTATTCTTCATCGCGCTTGAGAGTATCGCTATGTGTTTGTTATTGTCCATTTACTGTTCGGTACGGATTGTTATTTTGTCGATCATTGTTCACTATCCTCTCTCATCGTGATTTTACGCTGACAGTCAAATAATGTTCTGTTTACGTATGAAGAAAGCTACTTCACAGTTTACCAACCTTCGATTTTTTAAACGATCATTTTTATTTTCCCTTCTACTCCCCAGTTTATGGTGCATTAATTTAAGAAAAGTTTATTGCTTTTATTCTTCAGAATCATGTTTAATATACTCATATACATTTACCTATTTGTTGTTTAGTTATGACTATATTGCCTATCCTGAAACTTCTTGACGTTATTGTTTTCTTGTTTCTCTCTGTATTTTCCCATAATCATAATTATACATACATGTAATTTTATTGGTCGAGTGTAGAATTGGAAACAGTTTTTCGTGGTTTTTTTCTCTCTATATTCAAAAATATATGCGAGTTTTCTTCTGTGACTTTCGTTTTTCCCCAACTCTTTTCTTCTCTCTTCTCTCTGTAGTTTTTGTCATCTATCTGTTAACGTTAATATTTTACCACAAAGCAAAATGAAAAATGACATAAAAAAGACTTCAACAAATACTAATTAATGGTCACTGGAAACGTCTTGTTTTATTTTTTAAGTACTTTTGTTTAAAATGTGATTTGTCGGTGCATTTCGTTCGAGCACAAGTTACAAGAACCATTGTGTCCATAGATATTAGATTTTTGTGATTCAATTTGAGCGTTTTCACACATGTATTGGTGTTTTCTATGTGAAAAGCCACATAATTTATATACGATTGTGAAATCTTAATATGATAGCATGTAATTTTAAAGCCACCAGTAGTCTATAAGGAATTTCCAAAATGACAATAATATATGCAGTAGCACCAAAACTTACAGCTTGCTGACCTTTACCTGACCATGAGTTTAATAAAAGAGGTTTTTTTTATCATTTCTTCTAGAAGTAATAATCACTAAATAACTAATTGTAAACTAGAACCAAAGATAAATCGACATATGTTTCGCACCTATTTCCAAAAATCTATTCTCCAATGATTAATAAGCGAATTTTGGAGGAGTGACTGCCCTGTCATCACTTTGTACATTCAGCCACATTAGTCTATTAAGTAACCATCTCTGTATTATCAACCAAATGCTCTGTCATAGTCGCGTAGGTGATGTTATTTGACTATGATAACTAAGAGATGGTCAGCATGTTTCATTTCAAATTCTGCTTCATACTAGCTGTTCTACTAACCAGTCCAATTCAGTATGAAATTGCAGAATATGTGTTAAAAAGTACCATTTATTCTAATGAAGCAATTAGCTTGAGTTACAGAATGAAAATTCTTCGGATTGATTGTAAATATATTTATAGAGTTACATAAATTTTCTGGTCTTATTTCAGGTTATTTGTCTAGTGAGTTTGAGTGAAATTACTTTCATGAGCATTCTATTTGTCAGTACCGCAAAGGTAGCACCAGAATTCATAAGTGATGAGATGAACTTCGGATTTTATAACTAAGGAGAATAATTGAAAATAATAGAGAAAAGTAATGAGATATTTTTAATCCCATTCTTCAAGAATAGCGTGTTCAAAAAAAGTTCATGTGATTATAATAAAGTAATCTCATTATTATGTTAGCTATGATAAGTCAAGAGTGAGCTTTAAAAGAGGTGCACATTAATAAAGAGGAAAGAACCAAAGTAACACAGTTCGTTTTAAAATAATTTAGTTGGGTATTGAGTACAGTTGCAAATGACAAAATGTAAAGATATTACACTGAAATAAAATTAGTACTAGTGAAAGTATGACTTAGGGATAAATTGATGTTTTTATTTTGTTCACAGTCCGGAATGATACAATTACTTATGAAGCCAGTGAATCCCATACCAGGTTTTTTTACGCCTTTTCAGAAATGAATTGGATTGCATAAAATGTAACGAGAGCGCTGACTATACGATAGGGAATGGTTTCACACTTCCTCGAAGTAGGAAGTTATCGCGAAACAGCCAATGGAGCAAAACCACGTTCCGATTAAAACAGGCATATCCCGAAAAAGTAGTCAAGAGAATTAAAGGTCAAACAACTTCATCAACAGGAGAGATACATCAAATTGTATCTATGGCACCTGGTTATTTATCGTATAGTGTCAGCTCGACTGTGGTTCAAACGAGACATACTTTGGTGAATATGACACGGTAAATGTGGACTCACTGAGTGCGATGAATGTGAGACGACTATAAGGGCAGAGAAATTCTATTGGACTGGGCGCAAAAGAACTGATCTTTTCTACAACCCAGAATTTGAAATTGAAGTGACTCTGTCACATTGGTACGCCTATGAAAAATTCAAGACCTTGATGCCTTTAATAAAAATGGTATATTTGTAGTAACCTAATTAGTAGAAGAATTAATTATTCTGACATTTCGTGACTCAGTGTTTATCCTCTTCGGATGTGATAATCTTGTTTGCTCTTCTAAAGAGATTTAGGACTAGAGAGACTTTTGCACTGAATGAATGTGCTGAATTGAAGTCAGTACAACGATTTGAGTGTGTTGGTTTTCTGTAGACGGTTAGATTTAGAGCTCCAGTTAGATTTCTTTTAACTCAGCAATCTTAAAGTGGTAGCTCACTGTGTTCACTTTTATTCTCGTACGTAAATTTAATGTGAGTGTATTGATCAGTCTGGAAAAAGATCTTTGGCGAGTCTTTTTTGTGACAACAAAAATATCATTCATATATCTGAGCGAAAGTCGTGGTTTAATGTCATTGGCAAAAAATATTTGATTCTCTATCTGACATAAACAGCTTGGCTACGATCAGAGACACGGCGGATCCCATCGCTACTCCATTTGTTTGCTTTTATAATGTCTCGTTAAAAGTAAATTTAAGCAAAGTTTTAGGGATTTAATGATTAGACCGATGCTTACAAGACACCTGTCAGATATTGCCATTTCTAGTAAACTACTGATAAAGTCTAAGACTCTATCAATTGGAATACTAGAGTTAAATGATACAATATCATGGCTGACTGTGGTTTCACTCTTCTCGATAATTAATTGTGAAATTTTTGATTTAAAGTCATAGGAATCTTTAATTATATTATGTAAGTTGTGCTGTAGGGGTTTTTAATATGCTGCTGAGAATTCTATTTTGTACCAGGTTATAGTATTGAATAAGGCCATTAATAATAATAATATTTAGCTAATATGTTGGTGTTTATGTAAAGTTTACCATAGGTCTTAGTGGGATGTCTGGTTTATGAATGTTAGGTAAACTATAAAACGTGATGTTCTGCATGATTCGGAATACAAAGTAAACCATAAAGAGATATCAATAACTGGTTTTAGTTCTTTCGAAAGCTGACTTGTCTCTAATTTGACTTGAATTTTAACCGTTTGAAGATTTTTCGGATCAATCTTTTGATATGGTAATTTGTTTCAAAGCTTAAGTATCATGATGCTTTTGATTCATGACTACTATTGTGTTGCCCTTATCAGCTTATGTGAATAAAATAGTTCTGTCTTTTTGAAATAAGTTTAGAGCTCTCAGTTCTTCCTTTTAAATATTAGGTGTAAAGTGTTTTTGTTTAGTCAAAATACTGGATGATTTTTTGGCGTAGTAAATGATACTCTTTTTCCGGTAGTTGTTTGATTAATGATTCTATAATTGGAGCAGATTCAGAGGTACTGAGTGGTTTTCTGTGTAAACCGAAATTTAATCCTTTCTTCAGTACATAAATTTCATAACTGCCTAAATTTCCGTCTGAGAGATTATGTATGATTTTTAGACCGTTAGATTTAAGTTCTATTATTGATGTTTTTTTTCTTCGTTACTTTCTTTGACCTTTTCATACATTTTGATTTGGTGGCATGCTGAAGGATTTAAATAATGTAGTTCTTTTTTTATAAAGAGGTTAGAAAAGGATAGTTTGTAATTCTATGGGAATCAGAAGTTTTATTAGACCATCTAGGTTTTTCATACGTTCATGATATTTTCCAAATATGTGCATTTGTGAATGCGTTCTCGTGAAAATATTCGATAGATGCTTTGAAAAATCTGGAGAGGTTCATAGGAAAGTTTTGATGGTTTCACAAAAGCGATATTGGAATAATGTTATCTTGTAAGCAGAGTTTGTTTCGTGATTGTACTAATTGCATTTACACTTAAATAACTTGATCCGATTATTAATGAGTTTTTAGGTGTAGTTATCAAGGTTTGACTTAAGAATTACAGATAAATTGAGCATTGAGTAGATTTATTTGACATCTAGACCATTGATCTAACATTGATGACTTCATGATCACAATTAAAACTCTACGACCGCATAGTGATACTGGAGTTCATTGATAGTCTAATAAAGGAACAAAGTCTAAGTGGATTAGAAATCAAACATTTCATTTCAGATACCGTACAACAGCAACTAGAAAGTAAGTACAATCAGACAGCGGCATGAATTAAACTGGTTTTACATAAAAGAAACAGGCCTATGTTAGGATATTTATGAGTTATACCATACAATTTGAATATGATTATTTAGGGATATTAGAATGTGTTATAATAATTTATCAATGCAAATAACTTTTACATCTACATCGTATTAATTTCATGCTCTATCATGATTTATCGCATTTAGTCACTTAGTATATGTTGGTATTGTCTTCTTAAACTATTGAATTAAGTTTTCGATACTTGGTCTTTTGGAGTACTCCTTTACTAATCTGTACTCTATTTGATCGTGTTTTTCACTCACTTGTCTATTGAGGTAAACCATTTCTGATCGAAACCACGGAATTACGCTACCTTTTATACGGAAATATTGCTTTCTTGGAACTATTTTCGTATTATCGAGACTCATGTATTCCTAAAACTATTATTATTCGAAGTATCCAATATCCTATTTCTTTTCGATGTATTTCGTATTTGTGATCTATATCATACTGTCAATCTATTACATTACTTTAATCTAGGGTCCCATTGTGAATAACCTGATTTTATATTGAGTGACTGAAATGGACACAAGTATAAAGTATCATTAGAAAACCACACATCTAGTTGGTATACAGTTTTTCTCAATAATTTGGAGTTAATCAAATGTTATTATTATCATTTTAATTGCTATTTTTGACATTATTCATCATCAATAAAGAGTTAAGTAAATATACTTTGAAGTAATAAACAGAAAAAATAAGATGAGGAAATTGTGTGGCCTGATACAGTGAGACGACAACAATACTAACAACGATAATTCGGAACACAATATTATTTAAATCAATGAATCAAAGGACGATAAACAAATGTGATTAATTTCCAAACCTGGAAATTTACTTATGTGCTTAAAATGTGTAAATAATATCCTTCTTTATAATGACAATACTGGAAAAATAGAGTCCTTTAAGAACGATACATGCTGATGGAGAATGAGTTCTATCATTTTTCTCACCTTCTAAGTGCAAAAGACTACATTAAGACTAGTTTCACTTGGTGCTTAGTCTGAATGTAGGGAGTAGAGTTGCGGATGATATTGCTCACTTCACATATTTTAAGCATTTAACCAAACAATGGGCTGGTTGCGCATTTGGTTTTAACCATTAGATCAGATATTTGTCTTCCAATAAAAAACGAGTATCCTGCTCTACAGCTAACTTTGCTTTACTTTCTAATTGTGAATCAAGACTTTAGAAGTAGAAGATATTTGTAAGCTGATGGTATTTAAATATCAGTGCCTTTAAAGCATTGCCCGAGAGCGTTGAAACCACTCAGTTAGTGATATTGAAGCTAGCCTTATTGGCCAAAAATATCAGATCGTTTGACGAGATCATTAGTGTTCATCAAGTGAAATGGCTGGGTTATGTGTTATGTCAGCATAGTTACCGCCTATCATGACGTAATGTTAGGTGGGGTTTCAGAGAGTTGGAAGGAAGCTACGGATGGCAGGGCAAGGGAAGATTTGATACCAACCATTGGTCTGAGCCGTGTTGGCAGGTGCAGACTGTTTGATGGGAGTCAGTGCGACAACCACTCTCAGTGGTCGGAGATGGACAAAATAACTCAGAATCATTCACAATGGTGCAGATGAGTTCGATTTTTGTTCTCACATAGATCCCTAGTTTTAAAATCATTTTCTGCTCTGAGGTTAATTCTCTAAATTATCACTGATACTATTAC